CAGTCGAGCTCGTGTGCCTCCCGGCCGGCGGCCGCTCCGACCTCGCCGCCTGCTGCCCCAGCTCTCGCCGCTCAGCTTGCCGCCGCAGCACTCGCCCTCCGCAGGGCGGGCCCGGCCATCCGAGGCCACCTCCGAAATACCGCGATGACAACGGCCACTCCGGCACCACCGGCGGCCGCTCCGACCTCGCCGCCCGCTGCCCCAGCTCCCGCCGCTCTGCTTGCCGCGGCAGCCCTCGCCCCGACCATCCGAGGCCACCTCCAGAAGCCAGCAATGACGGCGACCACTCCAGCACCATTGGCCACCGGCGCCTCCGTCGGCCCTGTTCAGACTGTTCTGGCAACTGAAGCTTCGTTGTGCCCCTCTTGCGGGCAGGTGCGTGCCTCCATCTAGTTGGATGGGGGGTTGGAGGTCGTCGTCACTGCTAGTGCGGGCTCCGACCTGGACCTCGGGACGTTGCTGCCTTCACCGGCGGGTGAGGCCCCTGCAGCCCCTCCTGGGTTCCTGTGGGTTGGAATGTCCTCTGATGCCACCGACGACGACACCGATGAGGAGGAGTTGGCACCGCAGACACCGCGGGCTGCCCCAGTGGCGTGTGTGGAGCCTGATGCGAGGGTGTGCGAGGACCAACAAAAGGTGGCGCCTCCTGTGCGTCCGGCCTGTGGAGATTGGCGAGGATGTTTCGACCGTGAGGCGACGCCGGCAATTCCTGAGTGTCACACTCCATGCGGGAATGTGTTGGAGGGCTGGCAGCTCGTCTCAAGAAGGCGGCACCCGACTTCCGCCGCTTTCTGCTGCCCTGCTGTCAATATGAGGCGCCCGCCTTCGGCATGGCTAAGAGATAGGTGTTTTCGGTGCCTCTGTCGAGGTCATCGCGCACACTCTTGCAGGGATCCTATCCGATGCATGGACTGTCTTCGATCCGGTCACATCACCCGCTTTTGCCATGCAAGGAAGCCTGTTCACCAAACTTCGCCGCGCCAATGTCCTGCTCCATCGCCTGCACCCACCAGTGAAGGCACCACATCAGATGTGTCGTTCCAGCCTGTCTTGACTGTGCAATCCGGATTGGCCGAGGAGACCGAGTTGCTTCTTGACTGCCTTGCGCGAGTTGAGAGTGTTTTAGGGAGAGCGGAGGCCGCCCTCGCCAAACTTGAGGTTGTGCCAGTTGTGTCTCCGCTGCCTGAGATTCAGATTGGATCTTCAGTTGTGGAGGAAGCAAGCCTCTATGGACATTTCTCCCCTCGTGCTACTTCATGTCTGTCGTCGAGGCCTATGTCGTTGTCTGTCTCTGGGAGTGTAGTCATCGACGAGGTTGTGACTCCAGTGCTACAGATTATGCCCGAGCTATAGGAGCGTTGTGGCGAGCCCACTTCACCTCTTTCAATGGTGCTTCCGAAGGAGATGGGGCATGTGATGTCTGTGGGTGACGAGGTTGATGAGGTAGGTGCTTTGGCACCTAATTTTGAGGCGCAACTACAGGGTTCACCTCTGCCATGTGGGCAACTGGAGGCACGAAAGTCCATCGTGTCAGTGGTACCCGTGGCTGATAATGTTCTGGTGGCGGTGTCTGTGAGGAATAAGGTCGCGTCTGTCGGTGCCGAGGTTGATGAGGTAGGTGCTTTGGCACCTCATTCTAAGGCGCCGAAGTCCATCCGCCCGCCTGTCTTTGACCGTGAAGATATGCTGGCACGTATTGACGAGGCGGTCTTCAGGAAGAAGCTTGGCGGCTTGCTCGCCTCCTTGGAGGCAGCTAGCCCTGGGTCTGGCAAGACGATTGCTTGCCTTCTAGTGGAGGAATCTTCTACGTGCAAAATCAAGAAGGTGAAGAAGGCTCTCAGGAGCATTGGCAAGAAGAGTGACGCCCTTGGTATGGCGTTCGTGGCTGCTTAATGGATGATTCTCAGTCTCTTTGACCACCATCTCGGATTGGCTCGTCTCCGTGAATTTGGTGTCGTTCGTTGTCTTCAACCTTGGTTTCGTTGGGTGTTTCTTTACGACGTAGAAGTGTGAGGGATTATGGTTGTCAGGTTGATCATGGGTTAGGGGGTTTCTTTCTTAATGAGTAGTCCGCATGTGGTCTATATGTATCGGTTTTCGCCCGGTTTTCCGTTAATTAACTGGACAATTCTTTTCTTCTTAATTAATCGACGAGGCAAATCGTATGCCTCCGTTTCGAAAAAAAAGCTGCTTCCACACGGACCAGTTGAGCTCAGCTTCCCCTTTCACTCCACTGTAGAGTCTGTCCCCTTTGAGTCGCCGGAGCCCCGCACGCAACGACAAGCCAGCCGCCGATGACCAGCCCACACCCACAGGGGCACACCCGTAAATTCCCCCCCAAAACCACGCCCTTCCCCCGCCCCTAATCCCGCATTTAGCATTTTATCCGTTTAAACGCGTAGAGCCAAACATTTTCCACTTCCCGTTCTGCCCCTCCCTCCCGAACGGCATTTTTCGAATTCCGCATTGAAAACTCGGCCCTGGGGCGTACAGCGACAATTTCGCGTCCGATTTCTTTATTATTGTTATCGCCCCCCGGACGCGGCACTAATTTAATGCCCCGATAATTTTGTTTATTTTTCCTTTTTTTAATCGGTTTTTTGTATCACGCTCTCCCCTCCCCTCCCTTTTTTGCTTTTAGTTTTGCCTTTTTATTTCCTGCGTCTCCTCCCCTTTTGTTTTGCATTCCGGCCTCGCTCGCCCGCTCGCTCGCTCCCGGTTTCTTCCCCCTCTCGCCTCCCGGCTGCGGCGCAGGGATTCTGTCTTGTTTTTGGTTCCTGGGATTTGTGGATTTTTCGCTTTATTTTTGCGGGCTTTTTTCCCGGTGTTTTAATTTTTTTCTGGGGATTTTTGGGGGCGGGTTTTAAGGAGGGAGCCGGAGGTGGTGCGAGATGGGGTCGGTGCGTGGGAGCTCTAATGGCGGGAGCTCGTGTCGGAAGCCCTAGTTGGAGCTGCTTCTGTGTCGAGTGCTGCGCGCATGGAGGCCAATCCAGGGGAAGCGAGCTCTCCGACCGCAACTGCGCCTGCGGCTGCACCGGTAGCGGCAGCGGCGGTGGCGGTGGTGCCGGAGGCTACGGTGAGCTTTCAGTCACCGGCATCTGCGCCGCCTCCGATAGCTTCACATGCACCTGCACCGTCTCCGGTGGAGATGGTTAGCTCGAGCGGCCTGTTTGTGCCGCCGGGTATGATGACGGCGATGGTGGCGGCCGCAGGGAGAGGGGCTCTGTCCGCGGGGCCGTTGGTCAAGGTGGGGAAGAAGCGGGGGAGGCCGAGGAAGTACGGGCCGGACGGGAGCCTGATCCAGCCGTTGAACGCCACGCCGATCTCCGCCTCGGCTCCGATGTCGGCCGCCGTCGCGGCGGGGCAGTACACGCCTGCGGCCGCGGTTGGCGCCGCCATGAAGCGCGGGAGGGGCCGGCCCCTCGACTTCGCCGCCGCGGCGGCCAAGCCGTACCACCACCAGCTGCACCAGCCGCCGCAGCAGCAGCAGTTCGGTTTCCACTTCAGCTCCATTGGTTGGTATCCTTCTCATGCTCCCTTCTCTTCCCCACCCCCCAAAAATGTTCAGAAAAATCTAGGAGCATAACACTTCTAATTTTTGCCGCAATCCACAAATCCTCCATGGAAAAAATAAAACTGGATTATTTCCTGAAAATTCCGCAGATTAGGTCTCAGAAATTATGATACTAATAATAGATGGTGGCTGCAAGGGGCAAATGGCAGAAGTCGTGCGTCACTCCGTAGTTCGTTCCTTGTCATGGCACTGTCTGTGTCTGTCCCTCTCTTATCCGAATATTTCTTGTCTCCTCGCCACGCCTCCATCCATGATCAGGTCCACGGTCATACAAGATTCGAAGCTCTGGGAGCAAGTAGGGGCCAGGTGGAGGCATATCCTTACTGAATCCTTAGGGCCTCTTTGCTGTTCTCTTCTTTTCTCTGGTGGGGTTCTTGCCGCCGTGGGGGAGGCATGGTGGCATGGTGATGCTGCTGCTGGTGTTTACAGATTCTGGAGCCAAATACGGAGATGGATCATAACAAGATCCCCACAGTTAGGATGGAGGTTCTCCTCCCTTGGTAGCCCCAGTCATCGCTGCCTCTGCCGTGATGACAACGCGCAACGGCAATGTATAATTGTCCCGGCTCCTGTCCGACCTGGTTTGTGAGTCTGCTAGTTCAATTGGGAATGGTTGGGGTGAAACAGTTTTGTCAAGCGTCATGAATCTGTAGCATAACATACAAGGATTCGGCGTAAAATGATTAATGGTTACTTATGTTTGCATTGAATGGGCTACTGGATCACCTGTTTTCTGCAAACAGATGATCTTAGGCCACCTGGAACTTTCACTTCGCTTTGTCATATTCTGGTGTCAGTTCAGTCTGTTAACCGCAGCATGTGCTTGTAGGTGACATGGTGGCTTGTTCTGCTGGTGGGAATTTCACTCCTCATATCATCACTGTTGCTCCTGGTGAGGTATGATTCCAATGCTTCCTTTTAAGTCATGGCTTGTAGCTTACATTGGATGTTTTTCAGCCTGGTCAACTTGTATGCATTCTTGTCCGCAAAGCTATTCTGACTAGCATGCATTTTATCTGATCTTAAAACTTTTTTTTTTGAGAAGCACAGATTACAATGTAGACGCACGCACACACTCACACCACCACACACACACACGCACTCACACAGCACCTACTGAAGACCGGGTCGAAGTCACTGAAAAAATAATTTCAGTAATTGGTTCTCATCTTAACCATCCAGCACTAGTTGGTTCTCATCTTGAAACTTAATTTGAAAGAGCAAATATGCTGCTCTATCTCAAAAGGCTTTGCCAGATTTTGAAACTAGTGTTATACATAGTACAATATACATCTGATAGACTAGTATTATCCATGAATTGTGTTTTTACCTTTAGACTTGTCTCTCCCAAATTTGATTACTTATACTTCTGCATGTTCAACCATTGCTACTCTTACCAATCCCTGGATAACTACCAAATAAAGTGTTTTTTTTATGAAGAGCTTAATTATCAGTGGTGCTGATAGTTGTTGCATGTTGATTCAGGATGTGACGATGAAGGTTATATCATTTTCTCAACAAGGACCGCGAGCTATTTGTATTCTCTCTGCTAACGGTGTGATATCAAATGTTACACTTCGTCAACCCGACTCCTCTGGCGGCACGTTAACTTATGAGGTGTGTTCATTCACTCTAATGCACGTAATACCTTATTACGAAGCTATTTCGCCTACATGTGTAAAGACTCAGCCCTCCTATTTTGTCTGTAGGGACGCTTTGAGTTGCTGTCCTTGTCTGGTTCCTTCATGCCAACTGAAAACAGTGGCGCACGAAGTCGGTCAGGTGGAATGAGTGTTTCTCTTGCCAGCCCAGATGGTCGTGTTGTCGGTGGTGGAGTTGCTGGCCTTCTGGTAGCGGCTAGTCCTGTTCAGGTGCTGCTACTTATCTATCATAATGATTTGAACACCTATGAATTTGGTCTGTATACTAAATCAAATTCTCTGCTTATCTTGATATATACAAGTAACATTTCGGGCTCTAAAAAAAAGTAACATTTCGGTAAAAAAGGTCGATTTTCACGGCATTTGACCATTCGATTTTCATTTATCAGCAAGATGGTCAAATGTGTAATAGTAGTTGTATATCTCCTGCAAAACGTAACTGAACATCATTGAATCTGATTGCCAGATTGTCGTGGGAAGCTTCCTGCCAAGCTATCCGATGGAACCGAAGCAGAAGAAGGCGAGGGTGGTCGCGGCACCAATCCTTAGCCAGGCACCCCCTGCTGTTCAGCTCTCTAGTGCGGATACGCACAGCAGCGAGCAAGGGCAGCACAGCTCGGCCTCCCCAAGAATGAACGTCGTAACTTCTTCAGCGTACAGCGCAGACCAGAACTGGGCATCCACCGTTGTTCAGTCGGCTCCTGCCGAGGCATCAAGAAGCGCATCGTCGGGCGATCTGAACCTCACTGCCTCTGGATCCTGAAGCCCATCGAGCCAAACCCGAGGAATTCATCCACAGAGTCTCTGTGTGGTGCATTTCCTTTCTGACATGTAAAAGATGTATCCACTAGGTTGGTTTTCAAAAACCCCACTAGGTTTTCTGTCGGGCAGCTCAAGAGTCTAACTGCATTTGCTGTAGCTATGTGACGTTAGTACCTGTCGATCTTGTTGGACATTGTGTAGCTACACTCTATTGTTAGTGTGTCTTAGCCTCTTAGGCCTACTTCATCTGTTGGATTACATGGATTAATTTTGAGTTAGAGTTTTTCTCACAACTGTTCTTGCTGTGCTACTGTCTCCTTTCGCTGATCATGATTCGCCAATCAATCTGAAGTTGCTTTAGTACTACTAAGGCTTCATTTACCAAACCGGTGACACATGCTCATGTTGAAATTGTGTTTTGGAAGCTTTGCGAGAAACATCATGTTGATCAATGTATTTATTGTCAAGAATACGTAAGTATGGCGTTTTGGAAAAATTCAAACTTCTCCATTTCAAAAAAATCTTAAAAAAATGTACAAGCATATAAGGATGTGATGTGTATGTGTTAAATTTCAGGACGAGGTACCCTGAAATGTGAGCTGCGAAAAGAAAAAAAATCATGGACTTCTCTTTCGAGAAAAAAAATCATGGACTTTGAGAATGAGTAGTGCGTGTACTGAAAAGCCATATTTGAGTTTTTAGGCTGCTTGTAATGGGTAGTATCATAAGCTAGTATCATGCATATGATACTAGTGTGTGATACTATCTTCCTAATGCATAATATCATATACTAGTATCATAGATGACTTTATTTATTGACATGCATGAGACATAGTAGCATAACATTTATTATGATACAGTATCATAGTATAATACTCAATCATCTCTTTCTTCATTTAATTCCATACCGCCTCATCAAAATTGCCTAGTTGGCATGCATGATACTAGTTATGATACTCTCATTACGACTAGCCTTAGCACTCATTTTAATCTATTTTGTCCTGAAAATTTACACGCTTGTACATTATGTCTCTAAGTACTCCCTCCGTCTATGAATAAGTGTACATCTAGTTTTGGTCCTAAGTTCAAGTTTTGAAATTTTGACCGGCTTTATAGAGAAAAGTAGCAGTTTTTTGCATCAAATTAGTATTAGTAGATCCATTTTGAAATTTACTTTCATGAAATACCAATTTGATGTCATATATGTTGCTAATCTTTTGTATATAGTTGGTCAAAGTTTTAAAACTTTGACTTAAGACAAATGGTAGATGTACACTTATTCATGGACGGAGTGAGTATATGTGTATCTTTTTTCTAAAACCTGCAAATATGAATTTTGATCATTTTAAATTCGGCGTACATAAAGGCCGAGTTCCATTCAGCATTTTTGAAAAAAAAATACCTATACATTTATTCGCATATGCTCTTCTCCGGCCATATCACCCAGCTAAGCTATAGGTGTGGTCAAAACCCTGAAAAGAGGTCATGGTCGCCGACGATGGCGGTCAAGAGCATGTGTGGCCAGCATGATTAGCCCTCGCTGGAAAGAGGAGCTTAACTTGCCCTAATAAACAAGTGATGTACTACTCTATAGCTGATTAAAGGGAAGTTCCTCCCGTGCATGGTGGAAACAATAGCCTAACTTGCTCTCATAAACAAGTGAGTAAACAGGCGGATTAGGACAAAGGAGAGGGAGCATGCAGTGACAGTGGCCTGGTCTTAAGGCGCGGGCATGTGATGATTGAGCTGGGCAGCAGATTAGCAAGGGGACAAAGCGGGAGCGTGCATGGAAAGCCACGCGTGCCAGACAGACAAACGCGAGGCAGTGCATGCATGCATGCATGCGAATCCAGCGGCTCATGCGTGCACGTGATTACGGGCAGATGGCTTTTGGTTAAGCCGCACTCTCTGCGCTAATTGTGGTAGAGTACTAGGACAGACACGGAGAAGCAATTAGAGCCTGAAGATTCTCCACATGTCTGGATGCTTTTATTTGGTGCCATCCCACTCAATCGATGCTTGTACTCCTCCTAATCAGCTTGAGCCGCGAGAGAAAAACATAACTCTAAATTCTATAATTACACGGTCTGCTGCGCCACTTGTTCTCAAAATTGTTGTCACCACTTGCAAGTCCTCTCTCCCCAGCACCGTCTCGAGTGCGAGAATTCCACGGACATCTGTCCAGGGTTATTGAGTGAGATACACTAATTAAGTGAGGAAGAAAGTGCGTGCATGCATGCGCTGCCGAGCAGAAGGCGCATGAACCTCGAAGCTGTACATATTTTGCTTCTTGATCCTTGGAGCCTGAAGCTTAGGGAATGCGTGAGGGAAACAGGCTGGCCCAACTCATATGTACTGCGTGTACTGTGGTAGTAGTAGTTTTTTTAAAACTAATCCAGCTGCTGTATGGCCTGGTTACAGCGACTACTACTGCTGATTTTACAGCGCAGACAGCAGCAAAGATCCAACAGGCAGAGGCGGAGGCAGCAACCCAGAGACAGAGTTAATCCAGAGCCAGTACTACTTAGTCAAAAAAGGTGGACGACGGCCCGCGCTTCGGGTTTCGCACTCGCTTCGCGCCGGCAGCTAGCTAGCTGGCGCAAATCGATCGAGGCATGCGTCTTCAGAGTAGAGACGACGCGCGTGACGCATTCACGTTCCAAAGTTTTGCCTTTTGTTTCCTTCCATGGTCTCATCGAGACCAACTTCATCGCGAAAAAGGGCAGAATTTGTCTCCGGAATGGAACTTTTGATCACGCAGAGCGTCTTTGGTTCGATATATTAGATATTAACAAAAAAATTATGAAGCGTCTTGAAAGCAAATAAACTAGCTCGTATAGTCTAAAAACATGTGTTATTAGACTTTCTCTCGGTTTTCTCACCTAACCCTAGACAGCTAGGCCAAATTCTTCCCTTCAAGCTTCAATGGCGAGTCCATGGATTTGCCCCCCTTCTGCCTGCCACTCTGGCAGCGAGTGGCGGGGAGGAGAATCCCGGTGCCTTCGTTGGTTAGTAGTTTAGGTCAAGGCATTTTAGTCCTCGCGAGTGCGGCGCTCGTGTGGATAACAACGCTTCTTCTTCGAGTTTGTCTTCCGGGCTCCGATTCTCTCCGAGTTCGCCTCTCTGGATGTAGTTGACGAAACTCCGCCATAGATTCATGTTGTCTCCTTGGGAAGCGAGGTTAAGTTTTCTCGTCATGTGGTGTGATTTGGTGTCAGATACTTTGGATCTATGCAAGGGTTCAACGGCGATGATTGCGGCTCCAGGGCCCTGATCCTTAGGGGCAACGTAGACTTTCTGACTGTCATCAGCAAGGTCAAGCCGACTCCGATAAGGAACATCGACATTGGCTGCACCGTGGTCGTTTGGTGGTCTCAGAATCTCGATGTAACTTTTATTATGTTTGAGATGCTTTATACTTTCGGCGAAATTTTATAATAGATCTAATCTTTTTCATAAAAAGCAAAAAAACGAGCGTGACAACGTAAGTGCAGTTTCGCTGCCATGGCCACCATTTTGGCAGTTAGCAATTCTGGGGGTTTTCTGCTAGCTTGGCCTGAACACCTGATCGGGTGCAATCTCGTGGTGTAGGAGTTGGCCATGCGAGGCATGCTCTCGATCGTGGGATGACATGATCGGTAGATGGGGGTTGCATCACGACGTGCTTTTGTTTTTGAACAGAATAAATAGAGGAAGGATAAAATATGGCAAGTTGTATGTTCCACCAAAACCAACCTGTCTCATTTTTGTTAAATCCCCCATTGATACGTGCTCGAGATTAGGGATAATAATTAGCATCAGAGCATACCTAGACGATGGCGACGACGTCAAACTCAAGCAGATCGCCACACTGCGAGCGTGTATCCGGCGACGACGAAGAGCCGGGACAGATCATGCAAACCCGCCTCATGCGTGAGGGCTGCGACGGCACGACCTGGTCAGTGCTCAGGGATTGGGCCCTTCCGATGGAGGTGATGCTTGAGGACCGCCACCTCTGGCAGGCCATCGAGATCAGCACCGCCATCTGCAACGACGACCAGCTTGCCCTCGAGGCCATTCTATGCAGGGTGCCGCCGGAGATGATGGCGACGCTCGCAGCCAAGGGCACGACCAAGGAGGCGTGGAACAAACTGGAGACCATCCGCCTTGGTGTGACGCGCGTGTGATCCATCTCCAATGTACCTATAATTTTTTTTATTGTTTTGTGCTATTATATTATCATTTTTGTATGCTTTATATGTCATTTGATATTATTTTTATGGACTGACCTATTAACTTAGTGTCCAGTATCAGTTCATATTTTTTTGCATGTTTTTTGTTTCACAGAAAAACCGTACCTACCGAAGTCCAAACACGATGAAACTTCATGGCAATTTTTTTGTAGAATATAAGAGATCCTAGAAGCTTCGGGGAGAGACCAGAAGACACATGATGGGGCCACAATCCCAGGTGGCGTGCCCAGGGGGTAGGCGCGCCAGCCTGGCTTTGTGGGCACCCTGATGCTTCATTTGCCCTATTTTCGGGCCAGTAAATTACCATATATTCCAAAACCCTTGGAGCGAGGCCCGAAACAATTTTGCTATCGCTGCAAGCCTCTATTCCAAAGCGATCCCATATGGAGCCCTATTTCCGTGACCTACCGGAGGGGGAAGCCATTGTGGAGGCAATCTTTATCAACCTTGCTGCCTCCATGATGATGTGTGAGTAATTACTGCAGGACCTCGGGCCCAAAGTAGTAGCTAGATCTCTCTCTCTCTCTCTCTCTCTTTAATACAATGATCTCCTCTGAGATCGATCCGATGTAATCTTTCATGGCGTGTTTGTTGGGATCCGATGAATTGTGGGTCTATGATCAGAATTATCCATTGAACTATTTGAGTCTCTTGAAATTCATTTACCGCGTAATTTTATAGCTTTGTACTTCTTCTCAATCTATGCTCTTCTTTGGCCAAGTAGATTTATTTATCTTCAGTGGGAGAGTGCTTTGTGGTAGGTTCAATC